ATTCTAATCATTTTCATGTCGATCAGTGTCTGAATTGTTAGCTATCAAAAATCACTACGAACTTTCCGAACAACCAATATATATATTTTATATATATACATATTTTAATATATATATATATATTTATTATTTTTAATTCATGGAAATTTTTATTTCAAATACAAAATACAGTCGATCCCCCCCATAATGCAGGTTCGTATAGTGCAGATTTGTATATCGCGGCAAAAAATTGCAACTGTATTCATATAAAACAGACTTGTAAAATGCGGTAAAACATCATCGCCGACTCGTGTCGCGACAGGATTGGTCGAATCTGGACCAATAGTGGGCAAGCAGCCGAACTACTTATACGCTACGGAGAGTTTAGGCGGGTAAGTTGAGTTTACTATCGTCTTTACAGTATATAAATTAGGTACCGTAAGTCTAATACAGTACTGTAATTTTATACGTTTCTTGTGAAAAAAGCATTTCTTATTCAACGGCCATAAAAATTATTTTTATTAATGTCTCCAAAGTTCAACGAATTTTTCGCAGAAAAATAACTTATCAGAAAACGCGCCCACCATTTGGTGCGCTGCTCTGCGATGAAAACAAGCTTAAGCAATGGCTTGGTCGAATGGTGCACACTCAGTAAGTAGTCCTACAATTTTTTTGTTTATAGCATAGTTTATACGGATTATTCCCAAAAAATTATACATGTTTTGGAAATGTTGAGTCAAATTAGTCTAGAATTGATTAATTTTATGGAAGAAAACCTTTCAAACAACCATAGTCTGTAAACTGCACACGTGCCAGGCTTTGATTGGCTTTAAGGATTAAAGGCTTTAAAGGAGTATTTAAGGATTACTACAACGCGAAATTCTTATAAAGTGAAACGTATCTACCGCGTTATAAGGGGGTCGACTGTACAATCTTTATTACTGTGTGTGTATTTTTTCAATTGGAAAAAATCTTTAAGACTATGATGACTTAGAAACTTGAGAAATTGTATTTTACATGTTGTATACCAAAACGTTAGATATGTATGTATAGTTTAAATGGTTTAGTTGAGAGAAGGGGAAAAAATGTTCTTAAATTTCTATTATGTTAAAAACTTAGAAATGCAAAAATCTTTTGTAACATCTAAAATAACAATTTTAAAAAACAATATTTAATTCTAATAGTTTCAATTAAACAGTATAAGAAAATTGTTTGAATTTTTAAATGATTTATACGATATTTATTTTAATTAGTCTTAAAGTACTTAAATTTTTAAGTTTTAACAATATATTATGAAACTACAGATTTTTGAAAAATTGATATTACCTGATTTTTTTTGTATTAATCCAATATAATTTTTTTTTGTCTTATTAAAATTTTGTTAAATAGATTTATATTTCTAGCAATACTGAATTCATAAATAAATTTCTTTTATTTCTGTTAGGGTGTTCATTTATGGGATTTAGAAGATAGAGTATTAATACGAAAATTTCAAGGTTTAACTCAAGGTCATTTTACAATTCATTCATGTTTCGGTGGGGAAAATCAAGTGTTCATTGCAAGTGGAAGTGAAGGTAAGATTCATATTAAAACTAACTATAATTACACTATTTAAAATTTATTACAAATGTTTATTACTTTTGTTTAATATAAAAACAATCTTTCATCTAGCAAAGTTATGGAAATTTCTTTACCATATCAATTTATNAAGAACTATTTTCTGCGGACGAATGAGATGCAATACGATTTTTAATTGATGGACATGGGTTTAAACCAATAAACAAAGGGAGGTGTGTCTTAGTTTGTTTACAGTAGCTGCCAAGTTAGGATAAATAGACTATAGATTACTTTAAAATGTTGACCTTTGAGCTTGCTTTGATAGTGGTTAAAAATTACGTTAGTAGATCTTCAATTGCTTGGAGAATAAAATTTACCAGTTGTTTTCAAGTTATTTATTATCCCCATGACCATTGGCTGTATCAAAGAAGTAATCTGGAGAGGGAAAAATTCAATCTGGATGTTTTTCAGGCAATCCAAATTAGGATGTGCAACACAGTTGTCCAACAACAAGACAACTTTTCTTGAGCTTTGTCCTAGCTCTTGATCCCATGTTTTAAGCCATTTCTTAAAAAGTTCAGAAGTCATCCATGCATTTTTGTTTGAATGGTAAGGCGTCCATTTGAACACCTTTAAAACATTGTGGCTTCATACTTTTCCCAATGACCAACAGCTTCTGTTTGTTGCCACCTGACAAGTTCAAGCAGCACAACAGTTATGTGATCCATTGCTTTCTTGAACCAGATAAAGCAACGTGTTTTTAGCACAACAAGCCATCTGGCATAGCGCAATAATAAAGTCCAGTCTCATCTGCATTGTACATGTCATCTAGGAAAAACTTCTCAAGTAGTTTGGGTAATTTGATGTTTCCATTCATCTGCACTTGTGGTGTTGGCACTTTCTTTCTCACCATGAGCTTTCTTAAATTTGATTTCATGCCTTGATTTCCATTCGGACAACCAACCCTCTGTTGTTTTGAAATTGTGGCGATTCAGCTTTATAGCGAGGACTTCTGCTTGACATTTGAACATTGGATCACTGACACGATAAGCTTTTTGCAGTTACCGTGGCAAACTATTGATTGAGAGCATTGTTGACTTTTGTATCCTCGCCCTTACATTTCCAATTCCAGATTGTTCCTTCGCTTCCTTCGTAGAATGTCCATTCTTCTTGAAGTTTGTCTTCCTGCTTTATCAAGCATGAGATTGTGTTTCTGGACACATCTCTGCCAGTTGCTGGTAGCTGGTGCTAGGGTGTTCTCTTCTGATTTGATTTAGCAGATTAATTTTCTTAGCAAGTGTCAATTCTGTCTGCTTCTGTCATCTTGAATTGAACAGTAGAAAATCAAAGGGCAAGTGCTCCATCTGCCCTCCAGGCAGTTAATGGCCACAAAGATAAAAGTGGGGTGGGGAATGAAGAATTTCTGTCTCATCATTTTGTAAGGCAGTGGTACACACTTTGTTGAAACATATGGTCTGTATGAGTGGTGGAGCCAATTTGACATGATTGAGTGAGAAAGCAGAAGACAAGGCCTGCACTCTTAAAAGGTTTCTTCTGTGTGATAAATTATGCTTCCATTATAGGATTTGATTCTGTTCTTGAATGTTTTGTCCTATTAACTGACTGGGCTAATAACCAGAATCGACTGTAATTCCCATTTGATAATTTTGACATGATGGCATACTTGCAAAACCAATTAACCATATATATCAAGGATCACCTACAATTTCAGATTTTCTCCTCTTTTTCTCACATGTTTGCAATATGTGAGGAAAGATTGTGTGGAAAGAAAGGCAATAGAAAGTAAACTATTACTAAAAGTAAAACTGACCTAAGTGTGCAATGAAAACTGCTCAAAATTGACACAAATAATTATATTAATAGAAATATTGGAACTTGAAAAAATTGATAAATTAATAGTTTTTCGTGATGTCAAATTATAATGAGATATTTTCATGTAACATTCTATAAAGTTTCATTCTATAAAAAATTCTTCACAGTGGAACTGTGAGGAATTTTTTTTAAGTATTTGATGACATATTAGAAGTTTTGAATCTGCAATATTCCTGACTTTCTCTTATGATAACAATTGAATTGATTCTCTACTGATAGAGCCAAATACTTGACTACCAAATTTTCTAGTGCAATGACTTACAAAAGCTATTAGATGTTGAAAGTCTCAAATACTACAATATCATAAACAAGTAAAACGGAGAAACCGTATTTGGGACAAGACTATGTCTCGGAGACTCACTACTAAGCGGAATCACTTTGACGCTCAAGGCGGGTCTCATTCTCCAATCTTCTTTGGTATTGCTGCTTTTGGGCGCAATCATTCAAACTTCACCAGTCACGACCACAAAGTTGTCCATGATGCATTTTTGATGAAATTAACCTATCCGATTTTGAAATTTTTCTCTGTTGCGTGTTGGCCCAGGTTGAATTTTTGTCAATGCGTATTGAAAATTTCCTGTTTTTGAAAAAAATAATCATGGCTATTGTATTGTCCGAAATTATTATTTTTTTATTTTGCACAAACAATATACAGTTTAACCCGATTATAACATCATTGGATATAACGACAACTCTAATATAACGTCAAATTTTTATCGGTCCCACGATTTTACTATACTAGATAATGTTAAAAAAACCCACTTGTAATGACACCCTGTTTTAACGTCATATTTGAAGCACTCCCAAATTTACAAAATTAGATTACAAATTTTATTTAACATAGAAGAAACATGTTCAGTCCTAAGGTCAGAGTTCACTTCTTAGAATGACTATGGGTGGTACTCTCCCCCACCTGACTTTAGTGGGGTGAGGTGTCTGTTTTGCCTGTTTGTAGAAGAGGGTCACCATTTTGTATTTTGTTTTGACTCAGTTCTCAGTCCCCTGACTACCTACAAGTCTGGATTTTTTTATGCGCAAATGATTTGGGCACCTAATACTCTGTGCCAAATGTCAACTCTTGACATGTACTCCTTCATACCTCTATGCTGGTAACATAAAACGGCAGTACAATTTTATAAACAAGACATAGTTTTGTCAATTAGTCTGCTTTATGAATATTTGCTTTATCTGGCAATTTGCGAGGAATTTCATTATAACTGATGATACAAAACATTTGATAATCTAAACTCCAGTCAGTAAGATCCTTCAGAATACCTACAAAAAGTTGTGCTTTAACAGCCATATGAAAATGTTTTATCACACTAATAATTCCTAAGAGTTTTTAATTAAACTACTTGGAAAGTTTGTCAAAATGTAGTGGAGAACTATAGTTTTTTTACACAATATTTGCTATTTCTAGGAAAATAAAATGCACAATTCCAGAAACAATACGAAGACATTCAAAATTCAAGATCATTCAAAATTTATCTTCAGACAATTAACTACTACTGCACTATTTTGGATGTTGCCTTCTTTCACCAAAATACTTTTCTAACCAAAATGATTTTCAAAACATAAGAATGAATTTAAGTTGTTTAAACAACTTTTGAGTAAACTTTCAGAAACAAAGAAAAGCTGCAATAGTATTGCAATGACTTAAATTTGTTTATTGAACTATGATAAGGACATTAGTGCAACTGAATCTTGATGTAGTATGCATCTTTAGAGATCTGCTAAAATCCAAGTTATTTCTACATTATTTGCAATTTTGATTTAAAAACTGAATATTAAAAGGATTAAATAAATATAAGTTTTCTTATATATATATATATTGGTTGGTTTGTTTGGAAAGTTCATAGTGATTTTTAAGAGAAATAAAAGTAACTGTTTTAAAACTGAAAATATACTTTTATTCCATTACATATGTGCCATTGTTTTTAATGATGTGTTGCCATCTATGGGGGAGCTTTATGATACCCTCTTCATAGAACTTTCCAGCTTTTCCCACGAAAAACTGATTCCTGTGGTTTTTGCAAGCTTCCAAAGTTTCAAAGTTTTTATCATGAAGGGAATTTTGTGGCTAACGGAACAAATGGTAGTCTGATGGGGCAAGGTCGGGTGAGTATGGGAGGTGAGGTAAAACATCCTAGCCTAGTTTCAATAATTTTTGGCATGTTTGTAAAGACGTGTGTGGTCTGGCATTATCTTGGTTAAACACAGTGCCTTTTCTGTTGGTCAGTTCCGGATGTTTTTCTTTAATTGTTGTGTTCAGTTTATCCAGTTGGGAACAATACTTATCAGAATCAATTGTTTGATTTTGTGGAAGCAGCTCATAGTACAGGATTCCTTTCCAATCCCACCAGACTGTGAGCATGACCTTCTTTGAATGAAGACTGGCCTTTGGAGTTTTTAATGGTGGTTCATTTTTCTTACCCATGATTGTTTTTGGCTGATGTTGTTATAAACAATCCACTTTTCATCACCTATCACTAAATCAGACATGGCCAACATATGGTCCGTCTAATGAATTTGTGGCCTGCGATCAATCTTTCAATATTAGTTACTCAAGTCGAGTAGCTTGATAAAAAATTCTGATGCCTATAAAAAAGGTCGACAATTCACTGTGCGTTTAGAGCTAACCCTCTGTTACAAATCTCGTAAGCACAGCGTAGAAAGCATGATAATGTGAAAAATGTATCTGTAATCTCTACAATTTAGTCTCTATGGGGTGACACCACAATGAGATCTTGCACCACCTCAAAATCTTCCTAGGGCAGCCTCTGGTTTGGCCTGTGAAAAAAGTTTTTTTTCCAATTCGGCCCAGGGGCAAAAACTGTTTGCCACCACTAAATGCTTCAGAAAGGGGTCATTTTCATTTTGTCTTTCAAGAGAATCACAAATGGAGATGCGTTCAAGTAAGTTCTTTTCCATTAATTTGTGAGTAATTATCCCATAATGATTTACGTATCCGAGGTTCTTTAGATGTTGAAATACAGTACTGTTTGATGACTTCACTATGTCTACAATCTCTTGAGTTATATAATGAGGGTTTTCATCCATAATGCTCTTATCTGGTCCTCTTCAATAACAGGAGATCTTCCTGAGCGTGGAGCATCTTCAAAGCTGAAATTACCCACTTTAAATTTTGCAAACCACTTTCGAACAGTCAATTCTACTACAGCACTCCCACCGTAAACATCACATATTTTTTTTGCTGTTTGTACAGCATTTTTGCCTTTATGATAAATATAAAAAAAATAAAATAAAAAAACAAGTGTTGATAATGTACATTGTTTGCATCCATTTTTACAATGAGACGAATTAAACGATATTTGAATAATCTTAACAGTTTTTTTGTAACAGACGCATCTCAAGGTCATTTATCATAGTATTCATTGGTTTGTACTATACAATTCTAATCATTTTCATGTCGATCAGTGTCTGAATTGTTAGCTATCAAAAATCACTACAAACTTTCCGAACAACCCAATAGCTATATAAATGGATCATACAGAATGGTATTTAATAAATCTAAATATATGCAGAAATACAACTTGGCATGAAGACAAACAAGATTTGGAAATTGTTCTGTGACAGATCTTCCCAAAGTGTGTTATAACTGCTGTTCAAAATGTTGGAGATTCCAATATAGNTTCATATAAAACAGACTTGTAAAATGCGGTAAAACATCATCGCCGACTCGTGTCGCGACAGGATTGGTCGAATCTGGACCAATAGTGGGCAAGCAGCCGAACTACTTATACGCTACGGAGAGTTTAGGCGGGTAAGTTGAGTTTACTATCGTCTTTACAGTATATAAATTAGGTACCGTAAGTCTAATACAGTACTGTAATTTTATACGTTTCTTGTGAAAAAAGCATTTCTTATTCAACGGCCATAAAAATTATTTTTATTAATGTCTCCAAAGTTCAACGAATTTTTCGCAGAAAAATAACTTATCAGAAAACGCGCCCACCATTTGGTGCGCTGCTCTGCGATGAAAACAAGCTTAAGCAATGGCTTGGTCGAATGGTGCACACTCAGTAAGTAGTCCTACAATTTTTTTGTTTATAGCATAGTTTATACGGATTATTCCCAAAAAATTATACATGTTTTGGAAATGTTGAGTCAAATTAGTCTAGAATTGATTAATTTTATGGAAGAAAACCTTTCAAACAACCATAGTCTGTAAACTGCACACGTGCCAGGCTTTGATTGGCTTTAAGGATTAAAGGCTTTAAAGGAGTATTTAAGGATTACTACAACGCGAAATTCTTATAAAGTGAAACGTATCTACCGCGTTATAAGGGGGTCGACTGTACAATCTTTATTACTGTGTGTGTATTTTTTCAATTGGAAAAAATCTTTAAGACTATGATGACTTAGAAACTTGAGAAATTGTATTTTACATGTTGTATACCAAAACGTTAGATATGTATGTATAGTTTAAATGGTTTAGTTGAGAGAAGGGGAAAAAATGTTCTTAAATTTCTATTATGTTAAAAACTTAGAAATGCAAAAATCTTTTGTAACATCTAAAATAACAATTTTAAAAAACAATATTTAATTCTAATAGTTTCAATTAAACAGTATAAGAAAATTGTTTGAATTTTTAAATGATTTATACGATATTTATTTTAATTAGTCTTAAAGTACTTAAATTTTTAAGTTTTAACAATATATTATGAAACTACAGATTTTTGAAAAATTGATATTACCTGATTTTTTTTGTATTAATCCAATATAATTTTTTTTTGTCTTATTAAAATTTTGTTAAATAGATTTATATTTCTAGCAATACTGAATTCATAAATAAATTTCTTTTATTTCTGTTAGGGTGTTCATTTATGGGATTTAGAAGATAGAGTATTAATACGAAAATTTCAAGGTTTAACTCAAGGTCATTTTACAATTCATTCATGTTTCGGTGGGGAAAATCAAGTGTTCATTGCAAGTGGAAGTGAAGGTAAGATTCATATTAAAACTAACTATAATTACACTATTTAAAATTTATTACAAATGTTTATTACTTTTGTTTAATATAAAAACAATCTTTCATCTAGCAAAGTTATGGAAATTTCTTTACCATATCAATTTATTTTTAAAATGTAGAAATTGTAAATTGGTTGTATATAGTAATGATTGCAGTGATTTTTATTATTTTTAAGTTAATAGATCAGAAATTAATGGTTTTAATATATTGTCTCTAATCTTGTTCAAATATTGTTTGGGTTGATGTCAAATTTCTTTTTCCTAAATAAGTTTATAAACTTTTTAAATTATTTAGATCAAGTGAACACTAAAGGATTTTTCTTGTTTGGTTTTGGTTCTTTAATGAATTTTTATAATATTCCAAAATAATAATTTAATACAACAAATTGTGATTTTAATAGATTGTCTTATTTTAAGAAGTATTATTAAAAACTTGAGTGACTATGTAAAATTATGATTTTTTTTTAAAGTTCTTTCTAAGATCTGTAATTCTTGCATCAAAAGCATAAAGACCAAAAATATGATGATTATACAGAAAGACAACAAAATACCAACTTACATATCTTATGAAACAGTGATTATTTTGTTAATGCATGGAAATTTATCAGATAATACTCTGAAATAAGTGAACGAATGAGTTTGAAACAAGTTTTTAAGCATTTATATTGGCTTTTCAGTTCAAAAATGCAGATATCTTGAGTTATCAAAGCTGCATAAATACTCAAACCCAAATTTAAAAAATTTATTTATTTTTAATTCCCATATATAATGATAATACAACAAAAACATCTGTAGCAGACAAAAATAAATATAACACTAATCTCAATATTCATTTTGTCAAGATATTAACTTTTATTTTAAAAAATTTTGTTCAATTTGACAGCGGTGATCTTGCCTTATTTCACTTACAACTTTTTATGAGGATTTATTATTCATTTTTCTTCTAAGATATTTTAGAAATTATCATCCTTTTTGACTAATTTTTAATCAAGAATATAGTTAAGTTACATAAAAATGATTAAACAACAGCATTTTTATAATTATTAATTTGAATTTTTTTATGTATGAAACATGCTAACATTATAACAACAAACCCCTTTTGCAAACTGAAGAAAATTATTTCTTCATGATTAAATATGAGACAAATATGTTATGTATAATGTAATCTAATGGTCAATTAATTAATTTGATTTTTTTAGAATTATTATTGTAATAATTATTACATTTAATTTACATTTCTAACTTTAGATAACTGCGTGTATATTTGGCACATAAGACAAGAGATACCCATAGCTGTGCTCTCCGGCCACAGTCGAATCGTAAACTGTGTCAGCTGGAATCCCGTCTATTCTTCTATGTTAGCGAGTGCCTCCGACGATGGAACCGTTCGCATATGGGGCCCCGCAGAAAAGAAGATCAAGAGAGAATCTAGTAAAAGAGTTTACCAAATTTTTTCTTGAAGGAATTTTTGTTTATATTTATTTAAACAAAATTTTTTTTATTTACAGATCATGTTAATGGTGTTACCTCTTCATACAAAACGTTATAGTATCATCTGGTATTTAAAATTGCCAATTTAATTTAACCAGATGTACTCTTCCATTATATACTTTGTAGGGGGCCTTTTCCACATGTGATGTCTCTAAAATCAACCAACAAATTAAATAAATTTCAATATATTGCTTAGTGTAAGGAATGTTATGCCTTGTTGCATACTAAATGTTCCTGTCAAAAATAGAAATATTTTATTTTATGTACATACCTACTGTTGTGAAGTGCTGCTGGAATGGCTGCAATAATTTATTTACTATTTCCTTGCACCATTTCATTGTGCGTCAAATAATTATATCCTCCTGTAAATTTCATCACCATAGCACATTCCAACAAAAAATAGATTGCATCCCTTTTTTCAAAATTCACTTCTTAAAAATTCATTATTATATAGGCTATATTGCAGTCATCTTTTTAACAATTATCTTCTCAAATCTCAAACTTTTATAAAATTAGAAAACTTTGAGTTATTAAATTTCTTTGAAGCTTTTTTGCAAGGAATAGATGTGCATACTCATTATGAAAAAAATTTTAAGCAATTTGTAATCTACCAAGATGATGATAATAATAATGTAAATATTATCGTTATTGTTTCTATAAATACTAAATAGTTTGTGACATTTGACAATAAAATTGTCTCTATTTTTTTACATTGTTGCCAATTTGATTTTACTCTTTCAATGTAAATGCGTCACATACAAAAGAAAATTGATAATTCGTTTTTGAGATTAGAATTACTAAAACAAAATGTGATAAAAAATTATCCTTAGTAATAAAAACAAGGATGTAAAGATTAATTTTATAATTTTGATTCATGTGTAAATATTAACTGGGAAAAAAAAAACATTATACATTGCAGCAGTACTTCATTTGTAGGAATTTTATTTGTTCTGTTTTTATGTTTGGTTGTGTAGTGTACCATGTTTCCATGGGTTTTCAGATATGAATGTCCTCAAGTTTGTATGTATGTATGACTGATTTGTTTTTAAAAACTTCAATTTAAAAAATTTTATCATGAAGGGGAAAAATGTGCAACAGTTTTGTGTTTTGTGATATATATATATTTTTTTCCCTCCTCCAGTTAATGTAATAAATTAAAAGTATATACTAAAGTTAATACTCAGGAATTTTAAAAAACAGAACAAAATGCTCATTAAGTTTGAGTAAGTGGAATTCCTATTATTTAAAACCCATAAAAATTGTAGCTCTTGAACCTGAACCTTGTTTATCATAATCCATAGACAAGCGTGGTATGCCACAATAAAATATCCTTAGATTTTGTTGAATTAATTGCAATAATCCGAAAGAGAGCATATTGTAACTGTTCTTTGAAAATTATGTTGGAATTTTCTTCGAAACCTACTCAAAAGTTTAGTTTGTCATATTTTAAACAAGCATTTTTGATGTTTTTAAACATAAGCAAATCCTAAAAGTTTAAAAATATATATAAAAACTATCATCATATATAAATGTCTGTACAAATGCTTAAAATTATGCAAATCATTATCAAATGCAGCAAAGTTTCCAAAGTTGAAAGATTATTTTTCATCTTTTTTTATTTATTGAGTTAAGAAAATTCCAAATAGTTTTATAATGAGTAGTGCCATAAACAAGACAATTTTCTTACTGTTTTTATACATAAAACCAGTCACGTTGCACAAGTTTAACGACTTTCAAAATAGATTGTAATAATAATATATCAGCCCACATATTTATCATTAATCATATAGTTCATATTTTAAAGCTGTGTTTGTTCCACTTTAATTGTATATTTTTAATGCCGTTCGTCCGTGGTTATTTTTAACATTTCGTCTAACAAAACTGTTGTTTTCTGGTAGTTTTTTTTAAAATTTACATTCCCCTCAAGACGGAAATAAAAATGCAAATGTTTATTCTTTAATAATTGAAAGATACTGTTTTAACATAATGGTGATAAATGTGCAAAATATTTTGATGTTAGAGGTGCTTAAACTTGTACGTATGCAGATTCGAGTGCATGCCCGTATGCATTGTGTATAGTGAAAGTTTTCCCGTTCCATATATAAATATATACACTCTCTAATAGAAATGTTTGCCAATTTCAACACTTAAACTACATTGTAATGAAGGCATCTGCATACTAAATTACAATGTTATTTTGTAAAAAAAGAAAAGAAAAAAGAAAAAAAAATGTCTTTCACTGAATGGAAATTATTAAAATAAAAGATTTCATCAATCTTCAGTTCTTGTTTTTTTAAAAAATTTTATTTTTCAAACATATTTTAAGGAAATTTACATCAAAGTGAAGCATAATAACTTACTTTTTTATTTACTATTTAAATTCATTCATTAGTTTGACTAGATTTTAAGTGCTAAAAATTACAAAATTCTGATATCGGTAACAAAATATTGCACCTATCACAAAAAATTATTTTATAAATGCATCTACATAATACTGAGAACAATTTAAATAATTTTTACATAAAAAAAATTCCAGCATTACGAACAGCATTTTGAAATTAACAATTAAATCATTTTGATCAATCCTTCAGAACTACAATATGTAAATTTTTTTCAACTATTCTCATAATTTCTTATGCTGCAGCTACAATTATTCATTTTATAATTTGCCAATTGAGTTTATTTTTGCTGTAACTTACAACAAACTGTTTTTACGATATTCATTTATGTTTATTAATAAACTGCCAACTTATTGATTTTAACCTTTGAGCTAACGTTTTTTAACGTTCTTCAATCTGATGATTTATTCCATTTGGTAGGGGAATAAGTTAACTTGATGTACAATAATTTGTTTAATTGCTATTAGAAGAGTTTAATAATTAATTTTTATTTCTTTAAAGTACTACTTAATCATAAAAGTGTGTCATAATAGTAATGCAATAGTAGTGAGGTTGCGGCCGATGTTTTTATCGCCAGACGTTCAGCGCTGCCTTCCTGTAAGCCTAAAGTTTGACAATGGCGTTTGGACCGTCGGTGGAATCATGCTCGACATATCAAACGCCATTGTCAAACTTCTAGGCTTACAGGAAGGCGGCGCTGAACGTCCTACATACACATTTTCGCAATGAAAACGTCGGTCACAACCTCTCTATTATTGTTTTAAACTAAGTTTTTGTAAAAAGATGTAATCCTAAATTAAAATGCAAGGATAGCAGTTTCGAAATGTACAGTGTTTCAAACGGAAATGTAATTCTTGTCAAAACAGTATTTGCAAAGTCCTTTAACTGTTTTCTAATCGATCTGTTCTCAAAATTTTGGGTAAATGAACCATAAAATGCTATTCGTAATGAATGGAATGTTTTAATGGGGGAAAAGTTTCACTTATTATAAAATAAATAAACATTTCTAACAAACATCTTAGTATAAAAATTAAAATTTTGCTAATTTAACAGAATTAGTTTGCTAATGACATTCATCAAATATAAAGACCATCTTTACAGAGTAATTATAGAGGCCAGACCAAGAGGGTAAGTTTCTGCCATTAAGTTTTTCGGGAAACAACAACAAAATAATACGTGTGGGGAGATTTTGGTATATTGTTCCTTCTGTAGGTTTTGGCAATACGACACGATCTGACAAAAAGTGTTTAAAAATGGAAATGTTTTGTTCTGACCATTTTGCTATGTAATGAGTTATGTGGCATTTTGTATTGCTGCTGTTTGCTTTTTATTTTACATACAACTAGATTGCTTTTAATATGAATTCAAAAAATACGAAGATTTATTCCAATTATACTGTATATAGAAATGCCTATGGGTTGTATTTGTAGTCGGTCGATCCTTTAGATATGTTTCGGCTTTTCCTGTATTATTCGGTAATTCTCTATAGGAGGAAAATTGTATGATAATTATGTAATTGCTTAAAATGACTTGTAAATAATGATGCTCGGCTTATTATTATTTGAGAACTGCCTGGCAATTGGGACACTTATATATTAGAGCACCCCCTGAATTTTCATTCAGAATCTGTTTTGTTTGGCTTTGGCATTATTTGGTTGCATTTTTGTCTAGTCCCTTTTCTAAGGTGAGAGTCTAAACTAAGATTGATGTGTAATGCTAGTTGCAATTAGCCACTTCCATCGAAATAACTGTTCTACTTTTGCATACATATAGGTAACTGGTGTATGTAGTTAAAATATTTGAATAAAATTTGTGGTAAAAAGAACTGTGAAATATCATTAGCCAAATATTTTTCTGTTGGGTTCTATTTGAGATACTCCCCCTAATTAGAATGGTTTGTCACTATTGGCCTCACTAATAGTGCTGTTTCTAATTACACAGAGTTTTTAATAATTGATTTATAAAATATAAATTATTTGGTAGTGTTATATTTTATGCTCATGATTAATTTTAATAAATATATATAATGCATTTGTTAATTTCCTGTTTGCTTTTAAGATTTAAACACATGGAAATGCATATTTTTTTTCTAGTTTTTGGTATACAATTTTTCTTCCACTATTAAATTTATAACATAATTTTATTTAAATTTTATGAACTAACACATTTAAAATATTAATTTACAGAAGAAGATTTAAACAAGAATTCTAATATTTCTTATCATAAATTAAAACAATTTAATAAATTTTATCACATTTGTATAAAAGTATCTTCTCTTGTAATTGCTCAAAACAAATTCATATATTAATGATGACAATATAAATTCTCATTTTAACAAGTTTTTCTCATACCCTAGAGTATATACATAAAAATATTTAGTCAAAATTCTTATCATTTTTGTGAAATATCATGCAATAAATAAGTAAATGACAATCATGTGACAAGTTTTATAATTTATAAAATACTTTTTCAGTAATACGACTTATTATTGCAACTGCAATAATGGGTCTATAGGTCTGCAGTTATAGAGGTCGGTATTGTGGATTTGGACTCATCAATCCATGATACTGAATTAGTGATAACTCTTAATTCTAAATCACCGAGTTTTGTAACCTTAAAAGTATGTTAGACCATCTGTGAGTGTGTTTTCAACAGCAAAAAAAAATTGGATTCACCTGTAAGTTCACATTTCTGCCCATATTGATCACAAGTTTTAAGAACTAAGAATTAAGGATTTTAATGTGTCGAGATGTGCAAAATGTTATCTTTTGCTATAACTAAGCCAAAAGAATTTGTACGTTGTCAATTATATATGTAATCCATGTAAACGTTTACACGGGCTGGATGTTTTTCTGCAATTTGGCACCGTCTTGACTTTCATGCATCTTGTGGCTCTTATTGACGACCGGATTCTGAGCATACAAGTAAGTGGAATAAGATACAATCGAAATGCTGATAACCGTAAAAATGTCTATTGTTATTCCGAAAATAATCCAACAGAGTATTGCGGTAAATACCAATTCAAGAGCACTGGCAAAAGTTTTAAGGATGGAATTGAGGTTTTTGAGAAAGAAAGATGTGACGATTCCGCAACCCGCATTGTTTATCATGACGCAGACAATTAGCGGTTGAAATACCGATTTTAATGATTCTTTTGTGAATGCCGTCACAATTTCACCATTAAGTCCGAGAGCTACAAAATTACAGACGATGGAATCGATGTACATGAAGACGTTTTGTACCATGATGTGAACTTCGGCTCCAACTCCCTTCAGTAGGAACTCATTGTACACCCCAGCAAAACAGGAACAGAATATCTGCAAATTTAAAACATAAATTTGATGTTTAAAAAGCTTTTTCCACATTCAACAATACATAAACTAAAAACAAATTATGTGATCCTGATATTTAATAAATGTTTTTTGGCAAGAGAATAATAATCTTTATTATTTTCAGAAAGCTATGATTCATTGTGTATAAGACTATGCTATCATTTCTTTACATTTTGTCCTACTCATTGAAAAGGATGGCCAAAAAAATAATACATTTTGTGTATGATCAATGAAAATTGAAATTTGTTTGTTTGAACTGTAGACATATAGTATTAAGTTGTTTTTTTCTAATGTCTAAATTTTACCTTTACAATCATTTCTAACTAAATTCTAGAATGTTTGATAAGTAGAGTTTGATAACTAAAAGGCAATTCGTGAAATATTTCAATGGAAATAAACTGTGTACTTCTAGGGCAACAACATAAGAATACATTCTTTTATCAATTGAATTGTTTGGGCATCAAGATCAAAAAAACTTCATTCAAAAATTGAGTCTGATATTGCCATGAAAATATACCAGCACATAGAGCAAAGATTGGCCCTAGAGAAGCTGGCCAGTCCAGGCTGAGAGGTTCTACTTTGTCCACCTTACAGCAACAGACTTGGCACCAACTCACTACCATCTATTTCATGCCCTGCAGAACCATATTACCAATATGTAGTTGGGTGATAATACCCAATACTCGACACTTTCTTCAAATGAAAAGCCCAGTTAATTCACTTTTACAACTTAAACAATTTTTAAATTGAGTCGTACTAACAAGGAAACTGTCGGAGTGTCTTCTAATAAATTTTAATAAAATTTAGTTAATAACTATGTTAAAAGTATACAAACTCTATTTTAAATTTGATCAACACTTTTAGTGAATGCTACAGAGTTATTAGCAATCAAATGTTGCACTACTTTATAGTAGTTGAACACTATTATGCAAATTTTTAGAAGTGAAAGGGTCACGGAGGAAGACTGCGATACTACATATAGAATAAATTCTGGAATTTTCAAAAATGGTTGAAGAATTAATAAAATTTAGTTAATAATTATGTTAAAAGTATACAAAATTTTATTAATTCTTCAGCCATTTTTGAAAATTCCAGAATTTATTCTAAATGTAATATCGCCGTCTTCCTCCACGATCCTTTCACTTCTAAAAATTTGCATAGTAGTGTAACATTTGATTGCTAATAACTCTGATCAACACATTTAGTGAATGCTACAAATTTAAAATAGAGTTTGTATACTTTTAACGTAGTTATTAACTAAATTTTATTAGAAGACACTCTGACAGTTCCCTTGTAAGACTACAAACTTTTCCAAAAATGGTAGATTTCAATAATTGCTTCAATCAGCATTTGCAAAAGTGACAATTCTATCAGTAGTTTATCCCATTCATCCATGATTGTAATGATTAATTTGTATGCTTGAAAGTTGCCTATCATTTGCATGAACTTTGTGCCAGAACACTTCATACATTTTCTATGGAATCAAGGTCCAGATTATGTAATGGCCATAAAACTGCAAACCAACTTTTTGTCAAAACTCAATGGGACAACACATGGTGTTGCATCAAACTTCTGATTATTGCCACCTATGAGCAGACAAGCAAAATCAGCATTTCCTGATGTACTACAGAAAGATCAAATGTATGATGGGTTCTGTGGTAAACTGACTACTCATTTGCATGTGTTTTTCTTTATGTAAGTCATGCCAGGAATAGTTGTTACCATCTGGCCCTCAATTTTCACAAATTTCCATCACTCTTTCCAACATGCCACTGAAGGTTGGCATGTTGGAAAGAGGTATAAAGGTGTAGTTGCAATCTCATTTTTCCATAATTGTTTCTGAACTTTTTATGACTTTCCATACTGTTTGGTGACTTAATTGTAGATCAGTGACCACTATGAGTTGCAATTTCTCTGACATGTTCTTTACCTTTCTGATGTTGCATGATGATAGTGGTTTTTTGCTATCCAGGTTAAGTACACCTACTTAACCTGGATAGCAAAAAACCACTATCATCATGCAAGAAATGTCTATAGCAGTTTGCCAGGTCTTATCAAAAAGATAAGACCTGGCAAACTGCTATCTTAGATTGACCAATAATAGTGACAATTTCCCACACCAATTGACTCACCAGAAATCTTACCATCTGCATCAAGCAATTCCTATTATAGGCCCTGCCTTTTCTACATCTGATATATGGATCTATACACCTTGGATCTAATGGTAAACCCTAGTTTACCATTAGATCCAAACAGGTTATGCTTTTGGATGAATCCAAATTTAATATAATCCGTCATGTCAACATGTTTAGTCCACATAACCTGCTGTCTGTGCATTTTACTCATTAATACTGGCTTCTTATATGGACAATAGGCTTTTAAACCCATAGTGCATGCATACACTTTTTTACTTCTGTCCTATCTCATTTTCGGTATCTTATCCTGGTACATTTACCTCAATACAGTTAATTCTTTTAACATTGCCGTGTTCATCTCTCTTTTGTAGCAAAAACACAATTGTGTATTGATGACAATTTGCTCTTTGCATTGTTTCATAAGAGGATAAAATTTCAAGCATTCAAACTAACACTGCACAAAGTTTATAACTGTTAACTGTCAAAAATTTTCCATTTTGCTTATTCTTTTGCAGTATATTTTCTTGGGCTTTTAAACCAATGACTGACACAAGGGGCAATCAGAAAAAAAGATTACACGTCCAGAATATAATAGGTATGTCATTCGTATTAGCTTCGTATGGTCCATGTTTGTTTGGGAGAATGCTCACAATCCCATGATATCATGTTTAAGCATATAGCAATGAGCAGTGACAAAGTAAATGGGCAACTCATTTAAAAACATGTCTGGTAGAAGTGCAATCAATTTGTGGGCAATGAAGGTACCAGCAGTATAATTTATTGACAGCTTGAAGGTTATGTCAAGGCAACATGTCATGAAATAATGTTGTACATTGTAGACATGATTTGAGTAGCCAAAATCCAGGTTTCAAAAACAAAAAAAAAGTAGACATTCATGTTCCTCAATGACCATAGTTATTGCACAGGAAAAAAGATAGCTTTGCAGTATGCTGAGCTAACACTGTGCACCTCACCCTTGATGACACGAGCCATATACAACAAGCACTTAATAAACTGGCTGACTGCATGGGCAGCCACAAGTCAGCATATCACTGTTTATTTCTGTGCAAGCACAGGTTGCTGCAGTAAGCAATGCAGCCATGCCTAACAGAGGTAATTTCCAATAGTTCTCATATATGATATAACCAATAGCCCTTTGATTTTATAATAAGTTATTATATCAAACACATCATTAAAATTAATCGGATTTCTATTGACAACTAAAATCATTCATTAATGTAATAAGTTTTAGAAACTAAATTTTACTTTATAAAAAGACAATTAGAAAAATGTGTCTTACTTGTAGAAGAATCAAAAAGAAACTAAATCCTATATGACTAGTTTGAACCGTGTTTGGAGAACTTGTAGAATTGGATGAAGATGGTAATATATGCAGCTGCTTAACGACACAACCAAAAGTTAATAAAAGCAATGAAATCCATTGCTTCTTGCTTAATTTCTTCTTAAATAAAATCTGAAAGATATTTTCACAAATAAATTTTATAGAACTACTGGAATATATAAAAATGTTAAAAAAGCTTACTTGAAATATTATTCCAGTAACAACAACCCTGAACTGAAGAAGAAGGTAGTAAGTTGTTGGATCAAAAACAGTTAGATTAATAAATGCTAAATTGTTGTATAGGCAGTATAAAAAGGCCGGAACAAAATATAGCAAGAGAACTGACCAAAAAAATGTATATTATTAAATTATAGCATAATGATTTAATAAGGCACGTTAAGTGAAAAAATGGTTAAAATTTGTTTAAAGTTAATCCTCCTTTTTACTTTACTTTAATATCTTTACTTTAAATTAACAAATATATATCATTCATATTGTATTAATTTTAAATTATATAACATCTTACCTCTTGCATTTTTAACAATGTCATAGAAGAGATGTGAGATAGCATTACTGAAAATAATTTTAATTGTTAGTAAACAAATTTTAGTATTCCAAAAACTATATAATAATAAATTTTTATTAATATATGATTAGTGACTTGTTTTATTTCTAATAGTTTACTTTAATCCATTTTCATTTGTACAAGGTACTGTATTTTTATCATCAATACAATGAGATAATATAAAAGTTTGTGTCACTTTTATGCAAAGTTGTATAAAGTATTTAATAATAATTATATAATGTGTCAATTTGGTTAGTTTATTTAATTTTAACAAATGGAAAACAATCTTACTCTTTGCAGTAAAATATTATTGAAGAGAAAAGTTTGAGACATTCTGTAAGCATAACAACAGTAATGGTGCTGTAGGTGTACTTATTATCTGCTGTCTTTGTAGCTGTTACCAGAATACCTACAAATGATAATAGTTGATATTAAAAAAAAATGAAATATACAGAATATTCATGTAATGTCTTACAAATCAATAACATGGAAAATATTGAACAATTCTCTTATAAGTATAAGTAATGCAACAATTTTTGTTTTCTCAGCCAGTTTTTGTTGGAAAAATTCTATATATTATGTAGAACATCCTTAATAACTATCTTCTAACAGACTAAAATTGATTAGAGCCTAATCAGGGGAGGGTCATGTGCTATTGCCAAAAGTCCATTAAATCAAATTTCTTTTAAAAACATATATAATTTAAGTTTGTTATTAACACAGTATACATGACTCATACTTATAGAAGAAGTGTTGTTACAAAATAATATAAAACTAGCAGATAAGCCCAGTGTTGCCCAGGCAAAAAAAAACAGCAAATATTAAAACTATTATGTTATTTTGTACTTCTAACCCTTCTATTATATTATATTATATTATTTGATTTAAATAATTACAAAGATTATCTTACATAAGGGTTTATCACATCGAGTGACCAATCTAAGACATTTTAAAAATTCATTAAATTGTGTATGGTAGAGGAATAAAGAATTTTAAAATGTGTTAGATTGGTCTTGTTATATAAATCAAGTACTATAATATAACACAAACATTAAAACAAGAACCATATAAAGAGTTTGGTCATTTCAGCCTATCAATGTCACATTTATTGCGATATTCAGATGGTACAAAATGGCACACTTTCAATGATTAAGTAGACAGGAATTGAAAATATATGTTAAATTTTTCAGATATCATAATTCTAATGTTAACTCTAAAAAACTGTACCATTCACAGCCGAATATTAAATGGTAATCTGCCAACAAATCAAATTTCTCCAAAAAAAAAAAAAAAAAAAATANCCCGATAGGACTTAGCGCCTGGAGCGGCTGCTCCGTTCGCCCTATGGTAGGGCAGGCTCTGACTATGATTCGCTAATTGTAGAAATATAGTGCCTACGATGAAGTAGATTCGGCTGTTTTGGTTGAAACATGGTTGTCAGAGTAGCGTTGGCCAGTGTTTCTATACATATATATATATATATATATGGTGCGTTCGTTTATTCCTTCGCGCGCCTGCATCTGTTTAAAAATTCCTCTGGAACCCGTTCTTATATTCTGGTCAGAGTAGGCGCCGTTAGGTAGCAAAAACGGTTGCTTGTAGTAAGTTTACGATGGAAAGCACATGGCGTCCTCCATGACTCAGATAGATATAGTATCCGTCATACGGTTTTATAAAAAAGAAAAATATTTACCTTTGGCATTTTTTCTGAATGGTCCTACAAATACAGACAGGAATTTATTCTATCTGTATAACGAAACAATCTCGGTGAAGTACTTTTTTACCGGAGGAATATACGCAAAGAGACGTGCGTATTTCCTTGGGTATACTTCTAAATAACAATATACTATTATTTTTCCAATAACATCTATAAAATATAACAAATGGTTGATTAACAACCCATCATTAGTTGTCATTATACATGACAATCAAAAAATCACGGTACAAGCCGAAACAAAATAATTTGTATAACTTATTTAATATTATTCCGACAACCACCGAATAAGGAATTTTTTTTAGCCACGAAAGACGTAAAATTCAATCAAATATGCCTTTCGATTTGTCATGTTTTATTCAAATTAAGGTAATTTCTTATTTATGTTCATTCAACTCATTAATAAAACCACCGATAATAGAGACATCCATATATCATAATTACTGTCAGTATTCTTCGCATAAAAATGATTTTGCTACGACAGACTTTTACAAAACTTACTAAAATGAGTTTATTTCTTATGCATTTAAATTTTGGTCAATCGGACGACCGAGGCCAAAATTTAAATACATAAGAATGCTAGAGCGGTAGGTTGTAGGAATCCGAGATCGAGTACGGGCAAGCAATCAGCAATCACAGGAATTTTTCGGAGGTGTTTTATTCTGGATATGTCGGGCCTCGTCTCTCACCACTCTTCCATTTGTGGTACGACCGAACTCACGATGGACTCGGGAAAGACTCGGTTAGCGTCAATAGGGCAGAGAGTCAAAAAACGAAAAAGTATCCCTTTTTCTTATAAATTGATTTAAAAAATTATTTTTAATTATTTGACGAATCAAAGTAATGTTATAGAATAATCAAACAATAATAAAACGATTTTATAAAACGAAAATATTAATATTAAAAAAAAAGATAGATTTTAAATATTTCGACCACTTGTTAAATAAAAATTTATTTTTGTTCCCACATTAGCTTGCATTATTAAATTTGCTTATTTATTTGAAATGTTATATTGCTCATATTACAATTTTATTAACTTTAATAGCCACTAAATACATCAATAACAAAAACAATACTGATTAAAAGTGAAAAACAATCTCATTACATTTTAGTAAACATAATAATTCATTCAATTTAAAATCTTTAAATTATCTGTTCTAATATTTTAATTTTTATTCTTCCATTTATGTCCCTTATATACTAAACTATACTAACAATGTCCTTTATATACAGAAGAAAATGTTAGTTACAGCAAAAATTTTCCTGGTTATTGATGTTGGTGATGTGTTGTATATAAAAATTTATAATTAAAGATATCAAAAGGCTTCTTTTTTAATTATGAAATTTTACATTAGAATAAAAGGAATTTATTATTTATTAGTCTGTAAACTTTTGTAAAGTACAGTATAAATATTTGATGATGATATTAAAATTGGATGAATTATCTCTTGACATTTTTATTCATTTTGCTGGATATTGATGTCAGTGATGTGATTTATTTATGTATTNGTTTCATTCACAGCCGAATATCAAATGGTAATCTGCCAACGAATCAAATTTTGCGATAAATGGACCAAGTATTGAAACTTGGCACCCTCGAAAACCACTTAAGTCATATTTTGTGCTGGCTGGTAACCTTATATTATATAATTTTCCTATTCAAATGCCACCATATCTCTGGACCAATAGAAAGAAGAAACTGTTGCAGAAGGGAGTCAACCAAAAGTAGTCGTCAACCTCCTCCTGGAAGAGAGGACGGTCGACTACTACCAGTCTACTATTAATATTTGAAAAGTGATCCATGTTGAATTGTGGCTCCACACATGATCGAAGTTGCTAATCTTAACATCCAAAAGACTTCGTGTGACTTGTTTAAATAAAAAGAAATCTCATAAAAATGCTAGAATAATTGATTTTATGCAATAATAATTTTTTAAAATTTTGGTAACATTGTATAAACTATGCAGGAGGTACGTTCTTATAAATATCATGTTTATGGAAATATTATTGTGCTACAATTTGAAAAATTTATAGACCTATAAATTCCCACTGTTGTCACCTATCTGTCCTTCTTTAATCTCCAGAAAGGAGTTAGATAGATGAAAGTCGAGACCAGATGTGGAAAGCTTAGGGCAGGAGGCCCAAATTAACTATATATGAACTTCTGATATTTTGATTCAAAATGTTTCCCCAAACAGAGTTAGATATATGACTGACATGACTTTATTGCTAACAGGAAAAGTATGATGTACAGGGGCAAGACCACCACTGAAAGTATTGAGAACATTGTGATGAAAAGCTGCAGCCCAGCATTATGACGACATCACAACAAATAATCGCTTGTTAGAATTAGTTTGGCTTATTTGATTACAGCAACACGACACTTGAGTGATCTACCACGGGAAATTAATTCTGGGAAGACTTTTGAGAAGCTGAACCCTATCTGGAAAATTCCACGTGGCCAGGCCAATGGCCATGCGCAAACCCACGACCGACTAACAGTGTTTGGTGGTTTTATCCACTCAGTTACTGAAGTATACTTATTGGGCTGCAATTTGAAAAACTGTAGAGCTATAAATTTCCAGTCATCTGACCTTAATCTCCAGAACAGAGTTAGATAGATGAAAGTTGAGATCAGACATGGAAATCATAAGAGAAAAGAACAGGACCAGCTATATATGAACTTCCGATTTGTACCGCAAGTTACGTTATTTCAATACAAAAATTTACCCCCGAACAGAGTTAGATACAAAACCGGCACGAAACTATTGCAAACAGGAAAAGTGTGATTTACAGTGGTAAACACTACACTCCACACAGGCAAGTGCTACCTGTCCCAGTAATGGCGTATCTATTTCGCAATATATCGTCGTCGCATTAATTCGGTAAATATAATATATATACTGTATTTTTAAAATTATAACTTTTTTTGTAAGAATTATATTTAGTTAACTTTTTTGCCAATAGATGGCGCTACCTGTAACTCAGAAACTCGAATGTAAATAAAAATTGATTTATAGAAATGCAATCGATATTTTGGGATGGGATGTACGACATAATTTAAATTAAAAGTATCTGAATGTAACCTCCGAGTTTCGTAGCAATTGGTCGAACTGCCTGAGGAGTGTATAGCGAACAAACAAACATCCTCATATATATATATATAGATTGTACAGTACGTTGAGTAATTTACATTAATTGACTCACTAATCCAACCTTTAGCATGCTCTATTTGTGAATAGAACAGGTTTTAAATTTTTTGTCTTAAATCCATATCTACTGTATTTATACATCGTAAAAATTAAATTAAAAGTAATGAGAATTAAAAGATAAAGCACTAGTATTTAAATGTTAAATTTATAATTTTCTGGCAAACAGAAAAAAAGAAAATTTACAAGTGAAATAACGTATGTTTTTCTAATGGATAATTTGATAATTATCTGTTTCACTTGAAACACTTGAGCGACAACCAATGATCCATTGATAAGACGGGAAAAATTTGGAGTAAACCAAGATATTAGCACCATGATACGAAGTTTAAATTACTTATTTATTATAAGTTTAAATCACTTATTTCATTGCACAGTGATCACCGCTTTGATCACTACAAATTTCGGATTGTGCCATTTTTTCACCCTGCAGTAACTTCTTAAAACTAATTTTTCTGCATAAATCTCTTGCCTACCGAGTATTTT